CAGAACATTATGTGGCTGGCTGGGAGAAACTGCATCAAAGAGACAGAGTGGATGGCTTTTTGCTGTTCTTTGATTCTAATGGTGTGCTTATGGAGGAGGACAGACCCTCTTGGGGTGTTGATGCTGTGAGCCTCTCCATCATAGGCTCAGTTTGTATATATGTGTAAATAAACCGTATATCATAAAGACGCCAGAGTCTCTACTGTGCCTCGTTATCCCAAAAGGGAACACATGCCCTAAAGAGCATGACTGCAACCCCTGGAATCTCACACAATTCATGGATATTGGGGTGGCGTATAATATTCTGATAATTTATTAAGGCAAGCCTGTTAATACAGCTCCTCTTTGACTACCAAAACCCTCACAAAGCCCTTCTTCTAAGACGTTGTCAGACATTTGTATGATTGTTTTAAGATATCTGCTAGTTGGTTATGAGCACTGTTGAAATTGGTAACAGGCCATAATGAAAACTGAGAAATGAGGCCACAGCTCAGAATTCTCAACAATGGATCAAAGCATTTCTAAAATGGGGCACTGATGTAATCACTGATTTAAAACTGTTCTGTTTAAGATGAATCTCGTACAATATTTAAATTACAGTCAGATGTATCTTCCTTCACCAAACAGGAGCTATATTTTACTCTTGTCAAAGTTGATCTCTGCCCTAGTCCAGCAATGTGGAAAAAGCTGGTTTCACAAATGTATCCTAACTTTGCATCAAAGATATGCAGCATACATGGTTCCTAGTTCTGTCCAGCAACCAGGGCTTTAAGTGCATAGCCAGTGTCAGAAAATTGGCAATTATAGCTGTGTGGGGAGAGTGAATTTAGTCCCTTCTTTTTGAACGCTGCAAGTGATAGAGGTATCGTACACTTTGATGTTGCATCTCAGTAGTGCTCCTTTAGCAGACCTTTACTGCCCATTTAATCCTCCCTCCTTTTATCCGTTCTCCTGATCAGCAGTATTATATGAACATGGTCCATGCATATTTGCAGGTAAATCAAGCTGTGTGTCATTTGATATACATTTATGTACAATAATATTTAAATACATCACAAACTTGTTTGCCTAGATTCCTGAAACTGCTTTCTGTTGAAGTTGTTTATAATAAACTTTCCAGATGGCTTTATCAATCATTTCTTGAGAATGACTTTTGCTTAAGTTTCATAGTCCCCCAAGTAATTATTTGTCTCAGAAATCAAAATATTTTAGCTCACTTTCTTCCTATACTCAAAACAAAACTTGGCAGTTTAATCAGCAATAAACCCTGGAGAAATGCAATCATAGTTTTCCCCTCGCCGTTCTTGAAAAAAATATTTTTGACTACTTTCACTTAAAAGTGCTTTTATCCCAGCAATGGCTCAGTTTACTTCAGGAGACTTGCTCCTCATTTTTGTGTTAATGAACTGCTAATCACATATCTTATTAAACTTGACTCACTCATTGATGCACCTGGTTCTCCCACAGCTCTCTGCTTGTGGCACATTACGATTTAGGCTGATCAAGGCAGCAATCTTTGGTTGTATGTGCTAATCTAGGCATGCCCAACTGGGGGCCAGATGTGGCTTGCAAAGCAATTTTTTATGGTTCCTAGAGGTTCTATCAAAATTTAATCGAAGAGTGGTGAATGCTTTACTTTCACTTTAATTCCTAAACATATTTTTTCCTTGGGCATTGCAAGAGATACAGATATTATTCTACACTTAAATGTTATATCCCTTGCAGCTTATTTATTTATCACGTTTATACAGTGGTGCCCCGCAAGACGAATGCCTCGCAAGACGGAAAACCCGCTAGACGAAAGGGTTTTCCATTTTGTAGGTGCTTCGCAAAACGAATTTCCTATGGGCTTGCTTCGCAAGACGAAAATGTCTTGCGAGTTCCTGCAGGGTTTTTCCCCTCCCCCCCTTTTTCCCAAGCCGCTAAGCCGCTTATCAGCTGATCCGCTAAGCCGCTTAACAGCTGATCCGCTAAGCCGCTTAACAGCTGATCTGCTAAGCCGTTTATCAGTTGATCCGCTAAGCCGCTTAACAGCTAAGCCGCTAAGCCGCTTAACAGCTGATCGCTAAAGCCGCTTATCAGCTGATCCGCTAAGCCCGCTAAGCCGCTAATAGCGCTAATCCGCTAAGCCGCTAATGGGCTTGCTTCGCAAGACGAAAAAACCGCAAGACGAGACTCGCGGATGGATTCTTTTCGACTTGCGAGGCACCACTGTATTACACAAATACTATACCAGTTGTATTGGTTTATGGTCCATTTCTGGGCTCAGTTCAAAATTTTAATGCCTTTCCTGTCTAGGACCGGAATGCTGAGGTAGGACGAATCCGAAATGCTTGAAGCCAGCTTTCTGCCTATGGTATGGGGTCCCGTAGACAACGCGTCAGTGGCGGCAGGTAGAGGACACACGCATGGGTCGATCTCTTTGCAACCGATGATTCCGGTCGTATTGGTCTTCTGGTAAAATGAATAGTCACAACGAGTCTAGGCCGATGCTTGCCGGCGGGGGGGAGGTGCCTAATGTTCTGGGCTGTGCTTTTCCACCTTCAGAATTCAAACAAAACCCGATTGTCTTGTGCAGGAGGTGGAACGTCATACAGTCGGTCAAAGTGCAAACGCCTAAAGAAAACCCCACTCATAAAGCTCAAAAAACCCTGCTCCATAAACTCCCATAGTAGCCATTGTTAGACTTTCCAAATGAGACTAGGTTGTGACCAACACACACTGATCATGTGCACATCCTGAGCCTATTTATCCACTACCATATCTTTTTGGGAGAGATGAGATTGCTGGCAGGTGGACCAGGCATTTTGCTGACATCCCTCCTTGCCAAAAATCCTTTCCCTCTTCTTCTTTGCATGGTCAGGTAACAAGAAGTGCTCTGATCTACTCCAGTTTTTCCTAAATGATGCTGGTGCTGATCTGAGCCTGAGCTCCTGTTTCCGGAGTGGTTGGCGAAGAAGAGTTCCCACTGGTTTTCTGTTTCGTTTTTCAGTACTGCAGCTGATGCAACCAGTGAAAATAAATTGAATTGGGCTGGCAGGCTGTGAGGATATGTTTGCTGGGCTAGATCAGGCCTGTGGACCAGTGGTTCACCATCTCTGGTGTGTGCTCCTACTACGGGGGGAGGGTGGTGACTAGAGAGATGGTAATCTCTATAGTGGCTCCCCAGTTATAGAATGTACTCCCTGGAGAGGTCTGTCTGGAACTATTTTACTGCTGTTTGGTTGCCAGGCAAAGATCTTTGTATTTTCCCACAAGCGCTCTCTGCCTCCAAACTGGAAATATCCAAGGAAATGTCAGTAGTCATTCTGAGTGGAACAAGCTTGTTTTCTCCTGCTCTAGAGGGTAGGACTTGAACCAATGGCTTCAAGTTACAAGAAAGGAGATTCAAACTGAACATACAGAAAAAACTTTCTGATAGTGAGAATTGTTTAGCATTGTTTAGCACAGTCTCCCTCAGGAGGTTGTGGACTCTCCTTCCTTGGAGCTATTTAAGCAGATGTTGGATGGCCATCTGTCATGGATTCCTTAGCAGAGATTCCTGCATTGCAGGGGGTTGGGCTAGATGGCCCTCAGAGTCCCTTCCAACTCTACGATTCTATGAGTAGTCCTAGCAAATACTTTCATAAGGGCCAGTGCTCTCTGCTCTGATGAGTTGCAGAGTTGGTAAGGAGGGAGAAAGAGGGGAATGGAGGAAAAAACTTCCCTTTTTTGTAGCATTACTAATTTTAATCCTGTTGATTTTTAAAAATTTGGTTTTTCAATGTTTTGTTTTTTCTTATTGTTTGGATTTTCAGCATTTGTATTTAATTTTTTTTAGTTTCTTATGAAAAACTGCAATAGCATTTTTTAAAATGAAGTGTTGTTTTTTAAAATCTATAATAAAATTAATAAAATAATAAAATAAATAAAATAGCACAGGTGAGAGTAGCAATCTATTCTAAATTTCTGTCTTGCTCAACCTGAGAAAGGAGGACATACATGTGTTTTGATAAGCCTGCTTAAGCATACAGCCTAAAAAACCAGATTTTAGCTAGATGCGTCAGGTAGTCTAGAAGGCGGCAGGGTATGAATAGAACAAATGAGTGATGATGAGCTACATCCAATATTATAGCCGTACTATAGCAAATTGACAGTTCCAGAGCTGCAGAGAGACCCTTGAAAATGCTTGCCTGTAATGCCTTGTTTGTTTGCACATCTTTGGTCATCAAGGCAAACTTAAGATGTTGCTCAGAACACTTTCATACAGGGCAAATTTTTATATGGAAGAGAGCCACATGGGGAAGTCTTATATACAACACACCCTGTGAGAAATGCAACATGTTAAATTTTGTTTTGTTTACATGTACAATGCCCATGTGTGTATGTATTAGGTTACACTGTAAACACACACTTCATCCACAGAACTGATTTCTATGTAGGAAAATCAGCTTTCATGAAGCAGCCGTTCATATCTGATTTTAGAAATTAGAGTGGGACGTAGAGATTGATGTAGTCTCAAGGCTTAACAGCCTCAGTCACTAAGGACATCTGTGGCAAAATTAGAAACCTTAAATTGTATCCAGAAGGTTAACAGAAGCCCAAAGTGCTGGAGCTCTTTCATAATATATTCTTGGCAAGAGTAAAGAAGGCACATTTTCTTGTACAGACTCTGCCACCCCCTTCCTATTTTTCAGGGGGGGAGGCAGTTTTGTGGCACTTCCTACCATTTAGTTTTTGGCCCTTGAAAGTTCAGAAAGCCAAAGATACAGGTTCCTCAAAGGATTTCTTCGAACAGTAAGTGCCTTGTTCATTTTAAGCACAATTTTACATTAGAGGCAACATCTGTGTAGTCCTGTATTCTGCAAAGTATAGTCTATCAGATCTCTGAGTGACAGAGATGCTTCACTAGAAAGATCTCCTCCCCCTTTTTTTAAGAGACCCTTTGAATACTAGCCGTGTTCTCTTCTCTGTTATGGTTCGTTGGAAATCATTGTACTTTATGCTCTTCTTTTATCCAGTGAGCTTCTTGGCATGGAAGAAAAGGGTGACAATCCAGATTTGTAGCTGGAGCATCTAGACAGGTAAGTCTGAGGTTCTTTCCTTGTTCCTTCAAGATCAGTTTCAACAGCCCTTTAAATTATGCCCACTATGAAAGAAATGAAACTATTTTTGTATCAGAGTGAATAAACAGTGAAAAAACTGTTCTGACCAATGTACAGTAAAGTGAGTGGTCCAGCTACAATGATAGATTCAATAGAGCTCTAATTATGTATTTTCCTATTCCACCCTACCCCCACCATCACTTGCCAATGTTTCAAATCCAGCTAATGATCTTTTCAACATTTTCTGGCTTCAGCATTCCCTGAGCACAATCACATACTCCTAATAACAAATTGCCTCAGTAGCATTCCAACTCATAAAAGGCATGCAAATTATTATTTGAATCTCCTAATTAATTATGACATATAAATTCTGCAATTTCTCACACTTCTCCTAGAGGTTGAAATTTAAGTCTTTCAGTGTAGCTCACCCTTCCTTTCATTATACTTGACATTTTACCTGTTGCTTTAGGAAATAACTCAATCGGACCTACAAAAAAGCAACTAATTTATTTTCTATGAAAAAATCATAATAGGATTGGGAAGTTAATGCAAATTAAGTTACATGTGTTAACTATTTACACATTTGTTTGTTCTATTTAAAACATTTTTAGGCTGCTTGTCTAAATGCCCCTCCAAAGCAGCTTACAGCCAAAAACATTTAAAGGTACAAAGAATATTACAAAATTTTACAACTCCGCAACAGTCCACATAAGTAATTTTTTTAACAGAGCTGGAAAAAAGCAATTCAACCAGATTATCACTCAGCTAATAAACATCACAAACTAAAAACGCCTTCATAGAAATTTGGCACACGTCAAATGGAAGGCAATTCTGTAACAGTCTTTCATGCGTGAAGTTTAAAAATGTACTAATATTTGCTAATTGGAAATATTGGTCACTTTTCATTAGTTCTTGATGTAAGTTAGTTCCTTATTTGAACACATGATGCTGGTGTTTGAAAGCTTGGGTGTTCATGTGTTGCTGGGCCAGGTCTTAACTTCCTGCATTTATTTACAAGGTGCCTAACAACTTGGGCCTGGGACCCCTTATATCCTTGTCCAGTCATTGAGCCTGAGTCTGTTGGGGGTCACCCATGGTTTATATGTGTGGCTTTTAACGATTGAAATTGGTTTGTTCAGTGTCGTGGACCCAAGCCTGTGGAACACCCTCTCGAGAAATCTTCAGGTTGTAGTGGATCCCAGTGTAGTGTGAAAAGGATAATTCCATGTCAAATATTAGGAAAATGATAAAAAATAATAATTTGAGAAGATTATTATGCCTTTATACAAGTCACACTTGGGATACTATGTACAGTTCTTGTTGCACTGTATTAGAAAACTGGAAACTCTGCAGAAAAGAGCAACCAAAATGATGTGGGTGAATAGAACGGCTCCCCTATGAGAGAAGGTTAGAATATTTGAGGCTATTTAAATTATCGGAAAAGGATTTGATAAGATGAACACAAAGGTTTGCATTGTATGGAGAATGTGGATAGAGATGCACTTTTCTCGCTCTCTTGTAATACTCGAACCCAAAATCATCCGGTGAAGCTTGAATGGTGGGAGATTAAGAGCAAAGGAAGTAGTCATTCACACAGAGCACATGTTAAACCACAGAATTCGCTTTCATAAGATGTACTGAAGGCTGTCAATTTAGATGGCTTTCATGGAGAGTAAGGCTATACGCTACCTCTAAGATCAAAGACAGCATGGCTTGAATGTGAGCTGCTGGGGAGAGATTACTGTTGCATTCAGGTCCTGCTTGTGGACTTCCCATAGGCATCTGCCTGGTCTATGGGGGATCCAGCAGGATTCTTCTGTCTTTGCCTGTTCATCATCATGAAATGGTACACCAGGTGTGCCCTTTTTGATGCTGGACTGCTACAGCTTGTTCAGTCTAGGACTGCATTTGAAAAAGTATTTAGAAGCTTCACATGACATAGAATGCAGTGGTGATAATTTTAAACTGGAATCCACTACCTACAAATAAGACCATAGTGGAGGTATTGTCCTTTAATTATTATGATTATTTATTGTTTTACCAATTACATTTCTATCCCACCCTACCAGGATGATGTGCTTTGTAAACACACACACCTTTCATTCTCACAATAGCTGTATGAGAGAGAGAGTGAGCGGCCAAAGTTCACCTACAGGCATTGTGGCTGAGTAAGAGTTTTGCCTTAGCTCTCGGTTAGCTTTCAAAAAGTCAAGAAATCAGTGCAAGGGGGTTAAGCTGCTGAAAATCCAAAGGTCAGAAGAGATTAATAAGTAGTCAGGAGCAAGCAATGAATAAAAATGGAAAATGTCCAAGTATAAACAAACTGTCTTCTTGTTAGAAGAACAGTACATACATCTCTGAAGGAATGTTTGCAGAAAAAGTCATTAACATTAATTGAGTAATCTGGGAATTGTCAAAATTTATTGTATGTGTGAATGTGGTTGAATCATGAAAGAGAATTACCACCATTCTTTCAAAATTGTACTTTCCCTCCTTATTTGCATGAGAGGCTTGAGTATTATATACACTTACACTTCTAATCAAGCTTTAAGAGAGAGAGAGGGAGAGGGAGAGAGAGAAGAGCAACAAAAATGTTTAAGGGGCTGGAGAAACTCTCCCATGGGAAAAAGCAACTGAGGCTTTTGGTTTAGGAAAAGAGTGAAGGTGGCACCTGAGAGTGCGGTTTCAATTCAGGTGTGGTGTGGAGTAGTGGACAGAGAAAACTCCCCACTTTTCTCATAGTACCAGGACTTAGGGGCATCCAAAGAACATGAATTGTTAGAAAATTCAGGACAGACAAATAGGAAGTGGGTCTCCATAAAACGCAGTTTAAATATGGAACTCTCTCCTACAAGCTGTAGTGATGGTCTTTAAAAAGTTAGACAAGATAAGGCTATTAATGGCTGTGTGCTGCCTCTGACATCTGAGGAAGTATGCCCCAGAATGCTACTTGTGTAGAAACACAGGTTGGGGGGAGAAGTGCTTGTGGGTTTTCCATAGGCTTCTGGCCACCATAAGAACGGATGCTGGGCTAGAAGGGCCTGATCCAGCACCCCTCTCTTCATATTATTAACATGTTTGCAATGCATGCACAGTTTCAAAGAAAAAAAGGCTGAGGCCAGGAAATCTGTACATAGGAGTTTATTTAGATGCCTTTTACATCCCAAACCACTGCATCATCTCCTTCAGTTGAATTACCATTGGGGTTTACAACATGATTTACAAAATGGATTAATGATGCGATTTACAAATGTCCTTTGTGGATCCTATAAAACACAACTTTATAATACCATCATTAAAACAATGAAAATCAACACATAACGGATGCTAAAAAGGGGGCAACTGATAGAAAGAAAGACAGACTCTGCTGGCATGGAGTCCCATACAAATAGGGCCTTCTTTGTTGTCTTCAGGGTTGAGGAATCCTTTTTGCATAAAGGAATTCTTGGACATTAGAGGAAAACGAAAGCAGGGCCTGCACCATTAACCAGTAGACCCACCTGTGTACCAGAACAACTGGCCTGAAGGGTTTATTTTTATGTTGGATGCTAAAAATATACTGTGATAGAGCATGAATGTGTTGTCATATTCATTTTAAAAAATCCGTTCCTATAATAGGCTTCAAAAAGTTCACATGACTGCAGACCTTCCATACTGTTCTGTAATACACCTTTAGTAGAATGCTCTGTGCACAATATAACACAGAACAATGTCCACTATTCTTTCATTGCAGATACTCTACCATGGCTTTTAGAAATCAGTTTTACAGTTCTTGATTAAAACAGTTGTTCCACAAATGTAATGTGTACTTGCTAAGCTTACCACCAGACTCTCGTTCTGGCCAAGCAGAAATAAACAGTAAAAATGAAGAGTATCTCACACAGCAAAAGCAGAATGAGAACAAGAAGCACTTTAAAAACACGGTGACTTCGGTTCTAACTTCTAGGGGTGCAGGAGTGTTTGCATGTCCCTTCCCCCTCTGTTTAGCAGGTGTAGTGAAAAGCAAACAAGCTTGGTTTTCGTTTTTGGTAGATCAATAAACAAGCAAACATATCCTGTTGTTGCACTCATAGATTCAAATATCAAGGTTGACATTGTATGCAACTAGCCTATCTGGAAGTGGGGGGGGGGGTTACCTTCCCAATTCCCACTCAGCAGTCTGGTGTACCTGCTATGCTGTGGGAGGCAATCTGTGCATGGGAACTAGTTGGATAGGACTGAATCTATTGAAGTTTTAAGCTGAGACAGATTTTGCTTTAGCGCTATCGACATCTTAGCCTTGCAAAATCAAAGCAGCTACCTATCTTTCAAACTTAACCTTTGTGCACATTTCAAGGTTTTAATTACAATTCTGCTTAAGTTTAGGATTTTAAACAGCGTTTTACAGATGGCTAACTTAATAAATTAGATCTTTTTTTGAATGTCAGAAGATGTGGGAAATGGGGACAAGGTTGTTTGGTGAATATATTACATTTAATGAAAACTGGAACGTGGAGTGGTCCACCTTTCTTCCAAGGCTAGCATACTGCCAAGGTGATGTATGCTGAAATTATAGTTAAATGCAGTGACATTTACACTGTTCCTTGTAAGCTCTAACACAGTACAAATAGAGATGAACTTGTTCGTTATGGCATACATAATGGAGGATGGCAGACTTTATTATGCTAAAGCAACTACATGGGGGAGAGATTATAAACATATACCAGTTTAACAGATATCAAAATCTCACCCATTCACTTAAAATCTAGAAGTAAAAAGCCCTTTGATTGCTTTATTGAATGCTGCACAACCCTAACTGAATTACACCCACATCCAATATTTGTTGTTTGACTTGCAAACTACAACATTCTGCTAAGCCTAATGTTGATAAATGCCATGGTTTTCTGGGTACGTTCTGGAGCACTACTGATGAAAACTGTGTCATCCTTTCTTTCCCCCTCCACACAGGAATTTTGCTGTTAGCTCTTTTGTCTGCAAAAAAATATATATGCTTTTTGCCACTTCATTAAACTTGTGACATTATCCCTTTTTATATATTTGTGTGTTTCTTTCATAAAGATAGGCTGAGGTTTGATTACTTCCAGCCTGTACAAGTCAAATGTACCTTGGAATGTTTTACAATGTTTGACAGCTATGAAATATAAGTACTATGCAATTTGACTGTACATACATACATATTTTCATAAATACATCCGAACAGGGACCTCAGAACTAAATAGGCAATAGTATGGGACGAAACCACAACAGGCAGCCTTATTTTGTAGGACCTTGATCTAACCTAAAATAAAATGGGAGTTTCCATAATGTTGGTTTTGTACACAAAGTAAACAAATCAATACATTGTATTTTACCGATGAAATAATTTCAATGCATTTGCAAATGATTTGACAGGAAAAGGGTGTAATTTACAACACTCAAAACTTTTTAACAACCATTGATTTATATGTATTGTACTGTAAAAGTCACCCGAGAGAAGCCTAGCAAGGTTGAGCATGTAGTGGTAGGTCCCAAAGGCAACTCCCAAATATCTTCCTCAGACGGAGACTTTGGTAATTGTCTATTGTATAAAACTCCCATCTCTTACAACTGCATTCATTTTGCAAGTGGGAAGTTGCATCCGTTTGCCTCGCGAAAAGAGTAGTCCCAGCTTTATACTTCAGTTATTGTGAATACATTCTAAATCCACAGAGCAACACACATTTCCATTCTGTGAGGAAAAAGAAAACAAAGAAAACAAGATGCATTAATGCTATTAGCACAACCAGTGAATATGGCTACTATTATGACATGGGCTCTAAAAACGTAGACTCAGGAAATGAGCATTTTGCAATTCAGTCCCTCAAAGATGAGACAACCAAGACTTTTTTTTATTGTCAACAGTCCTGCTGTGTGCGTTTACCAGGGACTAGTGCTGCAGTAATATAGTGGAGGGATGGCAGAACTCCTCCATCACATAGATGGGGTTGCACTCTCTCTGTAGGAACAGCTGTGCAATTTGAGGGATGCAACACCATCTCTGTTGCTGGAGACTCAGGTGATCTCTGGGGCGAGGAGGACCTATTATTATAGCTTGTGCGGGTATGTTAGCTACGCCCTTTCCTGGACAGAGATCACTTAGTCACTGTGATTCAGGTGTTGATAACCTCACGATTGGACTACTGCAGTGTGCTCTATGTAGGGCTTTCCTTGAGATTGGGCTAGAAGCTGCAGCTAGTGCAGAATGCTATGGCCATATTACACCTGAGTTGAGGGAACTGCAGTGGCTGCCAATCAGCGGCCATGCGTTCAAGGTCTTCTTGTTAACATACAACTTGGGACTAGGTTACCTGAAAGACCACCTGCCGCTGTCTAGACCTGAAAGTTACTTAGATCATCTCAGGAAATTCTACCTGTGGCACTGTATCCTGCACCATAGGGTATGTTTTTCTATTGCCTTTTCATTGGCTTTTAGGGGGTTTTGTGTGTGTTCTTGATTTAATGATATATGTTTTAGACGATACACCACTAAGATTTTTTAAAAACATTAACCAGTTTATAAATGCTGCTCAATAAATAGATCACGTGACTCATGGCTCTCATATGCAAAATCTAATTCCACAAAGGTTCTGTTCACATTATTACCCTTCAAAAAAAGGAGGGTGGGGAGAACAGATCATATGAAGTGAACTTCTGCACAAGCAGCCATTTTCACAGAGCTGCTTCACTTAAACTGGAGGCTATTTGCATGATGGGAAGACCTATGCCATTCTATAGACTAGCCCATGATAATGTATAAAGTTGACTGTTCTAAGGAGGGTGGGTGATTTACTTTGATGCCCAAAAATGTTGATTCAGATTCTGTTGGTTAGATGGCAACAATTTTCTTTTAAGTTTAGTAAATTAAATAAGTGCAGCTATACAGAATCATCCTATACTTCTTCCTCCAACTCTCTTCTTTGCTTAGAGATAGTTTGCAGTATTTTCTTGGCATGAGTACTAATATTACTTTTCTTTGAAACATAGATATATTTCCTGAGAGATGATTCTTTCTCACATGTGCAGCCTCTTAGCTGTTCTCTGATGGAAAATGGGAATTATTATTTTCTCAGGCTAAATGGTCAGTTCCAAAAAGGCTTGTTTTAGTAAGGTTTGCTTACTTCCAACTAGTTGGATTCATTCTACTAAACACATTCTTAGGCACATTCTTGTGAAACTGAATTACCACTCTGAAAGCTTAGCAAACCAAAAGTTTGGCATTCTAACATAGGAATACTGAAGTGGTTTAAAGAGAAGCAGGTCACCCCCTTAAGAATCAGTGCAGTTTTAACCTTGTCTATTCAGCTGTAAGTGCTACCAAATGCCATGGGGCTTACTCCCAGGTAAGTGGGGTTAGGCTTGCAGCCTAGGACACTTGCCCCTTTAGTTACTACTGATCGGGATAGCCTCTTGTGCAGACTGAACCATTTGGACCAGTGGGATTATATCTTTATATCTGGAGTTTTGAATTATGGAATGATCTTGTTTGGTACTTCTTGTGGTGAGATACAGTCACAAAAATTTTCAGGAATCATTGACTAAGAGCTACAACTATAGCTGGAATTCACAAGCTACAGATTCTCAATGACTTAACTGATGTGTACATTTGGTTTGCAATCATGGAGTTACTTATATCTACTCATCATGTTGAGTTTGATTTTATTAAGCTTGTTCAGGTAACTTGGGACAGTATGTTCTGTTAAGAAGGAACTAACAAAGATGCCTCTTCAAGTGTCTGATATACAGAGCAGCTTCCTGCCTGCTTTCACCAGGTGCATGGAACTCTTAATCCACATGGCAAACAGAGCAAATCCAATACCATACTAATCCTATCTCTGCTGCCATATGATTTGAGTCTGTGACATCTGAACCTCAGAGATACACAAATGGAAGCAACTATATTCCCCTGTCACAGCTCAGCGCAATGCCTCGAGGAAAGAGCCCCAAGGGCAAGAAAGCAAATCAAATGAATTAAAGCTGAAATACTCCAGCCATGGCTTATTGCTGCACTGTGCATGAGAAAATGGCGAAGAATACCCTGTTACAGTATTTTATACAGCATTTCATAAAACAGCATTTGGTACTTTCAGTGATCTAGAAAGGATCCAAGGAAAGCAATTCCGTCCAGGAAGATGGTGTAAAAAGAACAAGAAATCATTATTTGATTAACATGCATTGCTCAAGTGCAGCATGTTAGTCACTGTAAAAAGTCACTATTTTGGTACACTTTCATTTTCTTCTCATTTTAAATAAAAAGCATAACCTTGGATGATAACGGATGCTAATTGCACTAAGTGCATTACAGTATTTCTGAAAGCTAAAGTGGATGAAGTGATAAATATGATTTCTCAAATGGATGTCCTTTTGGTATCAGTTACATTCACAGTGAAATCTTCTTGCCCTAAACTATAATGGCTTTAGAAAGTTGCGTATAGGACAATGGCACAAAACTGTGATAGACAGCACAACAATACTTTATGAGGCCTGGAGCTCTTGCATGCCACTGACATTCATCTTTTGGAGGAGTGGAGGGCTTCTTTAAGTGGCCAAGGACTTTCCAGGTTTTATGTGCCAACAGACGATGAGTCGGGGAAGTTTTCTGTATCTTGGGAAGCACTGCTAGAATGAATAGAGTGTTGGGCTAGAACCTGGGAGATCAGATCTTACTCAGCCATGAAGGTCATTGTGTGACCTTACGCCACAGCCTAACCTATTTCATAGTGCTGTGTGAATAAAATGGGGAGAAGGAAGACCATGTATGCCACTTTAAGGTCTATGGAAGAAAGTTGAAATATAAATAAATAAATGTGGCAGGACACCCCACACACCCTCAAAAAAGTATCCTGGACCACCTCTAATAGTGAATTCAGAGTAATTCTAGAGTCTGTTGGCAGTGATTATGACTATAGTGACAATTCTGAAACGCCACAACTTCAAATGGGCCATTTCTGCACTAATCTAAAATGTGTGGCTTGAGGGTTGTCATCTCCATTGTTTAATATTCCATTTTTATTCATTCCACCATGAATAGTGAATTATACTCCAGAAAGTTTATAAAACCAAGCTACAAAATAGGATTTGTGTTTCTCTTGATTTTCCTGCTTTAGAGAATAAATATATATTTCTACCCTTTACCTTCAATTTTTGCCCATCTCTGTAAGGAAATAGAGCAAGAAGCAAAAGGGATTCAAAATGAATGCAACATAAATATATTGCACCTGCAATTGGTATTACTGTAACTGCCTTGCTAACAGGCAGGTTATTTTTGAAAATACATATTTATAAATGTCTAAAATGTTTACTAGTTATTAACATCACTATTCTACATGCATATTAAGAATACCTGCAGGGCTTTAAGAGAGACTATTTTAAAGTTGTAGAAGAAGCCTACTGAATATATCTGGCCCTATCTCCCTGGATAATAATCATACAATTACCATTACACAAATTGCATAATTTTTGTTACTGCATTCTCATTCTTCCGTTGCAGCTCACTGCTGTCAGTGGCAGCTAAAAGCAACCTTCCTGGGTAAAGAGTCTGACTCCTACACACAAATTCTGTGTACCGCCCTCCCTTCCTCCACCTTTTACTATCAAATACCTTGCATTTGCAAGTTGTACAAGGAGACCCGAGCATTGTCCATACGGAGCCACTAAGTCGTGCTATTCCATAGCCATCTTGACAAGTTTTTCTGATATCGTAGGTTATGTTATCAGCCAAACAAGGATCACTGACACAACGAGGGCAACATTCGCCTTCTGATATTGCTGTGAAGTCACAGGTGAGAGTGGGGCATGCAAGTGGCCAACAATCTACTTCACCTTCCTGTGAAAACAGAGACCCACAGTAAGTTACGTCAGACTATGAAACAAAACACCAATAGCAACTACTTCTTTGATCAACTTTTACTGTTAGGCCTGAGTCATTACCTAAAACTGGGATGGAATAGGACTCCCCTTATTCCATTGTTGCCCATAATAGCAGAGGCTGGTGGGAGTTTGGGTACCTCAGTCTCTTGAAGGGTATAAGTTCTCCATTCTTGACTAAAATTCACTTAGAAAATAGGCATATTCTTATCTGGCAGTAGTCTAAACAGTGCAGTGCTGCTGGGCACCACATTTACAGCAGATTAAGGACCATGCACACATCTCTGATGGATAAATGCAGACCTCCAACCAGGGATGTGGATACGCCATGCTGCTATACAGTCGTACCTTGGAAGTCAAATGGAATCCATTCCGGAAGTCCATTCGACTTCCAAAACCAAAGTGTTTGACTTCCAAATCACAGCTTCTGGTTGGCTGCAGGGTGCAACCAAGGTACGACTGTATATGAAACTCATTTGCTGAACTGGGTGATGTGATAATATAGAGCTTCTGAATGAAAAGCCACAAATGGCTGAATTCTGAAGCACATTTTTGTTTTGATTTCATAGCCCTGTTATGCAGATGTGCATCTTCATCACAAATTGCTTGCTGGTTTCCCACAGGCATCTGGTTGGCCACTGATGCTGGCCAAGTTGGGCCATTGGCCTGATCCAGCAGGCTCTTTTATGTTCTTTAAGCAATTTACGAGGCTATGTAAACTACTCATTTTAACAAAAGGAAACCATGAACCATATTATCACATCAGTACTGCAGTACTGCCACTAGCTATTTACAGTGTTAAGGCTAAATGCTATGTAGTAGTTTACAGACACTAAGAGATAATGACACAGTAGTTAACTCATCCAGAAATCATATGATAACTGACACCTCAGGATACAATGATAAATAATTCATTGCATTACTCTGCAGCATTTGCAACCAAAAATGCCATGAAATTCAGATTAGACAAAGTCACTGGTGAGAAAGGTAAGGTGATTCAACCTATTCTGGATGGGGTTGCACTCCTCTTGGAGGAACAGGAACATTCCTTATTATTATTTTCAGAAGTCTTTTAAAGTCGAACACCTAGTTTTATTACTGCCAGTTTAAACATGTAGCATATTGTGCATTTGCTACTGTTAGGATTTTGTTTCGCTTTTAAGTGTTAGATTATATGTTCTCTGTCCAAAAGAAGTCCAGGAGCTTTCTTTTGAGTAAGCAAGCATGGAATCACACTGTCAAGTTCTCACAACATGAGAACAGTAGTAATGCATCCTATGGTATCAGGATCTGATAAACTGTAGTAGGCAACATACACACTATACCTTTAAAGCACTTTGCCCCTCTCAAAGAATTATGGGCACTGTAGTTTGTTAAAGGTTGCTCTGTAAAGGGTAAACTATAGTTCCTAGAATTCTTTGGAGAAAAAGAATGTGCTTTGCTTGTGACGTCCACTGGAAGTTTTAACATTTTTTAGTTACTTATGCTGTGCATCACCAGTTTGTTTGTTTTTGCTCTGAAATCTTTAGTGAATTGCTATGTGGCACTGAAAAGCCCTGTTCTTTGGACCCTAGTGATCCCCCCCCCCATTTCCAAGCATTATATTACTACTACTACTACTACTACACATGTATATAGTCCTTTACAGTTGTTACAGTATTTTTTTTTAAAAAAATTGATTTTCTTTTCTTATAACAAATATCTAATATCATTACTAAACATTCATTTTTCAACTCCCTCCTCCCTGTTCCCTTCCCTCAGCTTCCATTTCTGGTTTATTACATTAAATGATACATTCTATGTTATCATGTTGTTATATTTCTTGTTCTTTGTAAATAAAATTGTAAATGTTTATTTAAATCCTGCCAGTAAGTCCTTTTTTTTGTTGTTTCTGCAGATATATTGTAAAAGGTTCCAATATCACAATAGTGATTTTGATATTACATAGTATTAGTAATCTTTACAATTGCTTTGGGTAGTGTTATTTCCATATTACATGACAAAGACTGCAGAGGGATGAGTTGCCAAAAGCAACAGAACGAATTAACAGCAGAGGCAAGATTTCCTGTAGTGATTTCCTTGTTCACAGTCAGGCTCTTAGCTGCTGCACTACACAGATTTTGACACTGAGAATCCACATTTTCTGGCCTTAATTTCTAAATACTGATAATGACATATTGGGAGAATCTCCATCCCTCTGTTGACACAGGAACTCCACATGGCATCGCTAATGGATAGCCATCCAGTCTCTCCTTAAAAGCCTCTAATGAAGAAGGGTCCACTAACTAAAAATGTTGAATTCAGTTGTTCCTCCCAAACAAATATTTGGAGTATCTGGTTGAGGCTTTTCAGCCTAAGAATGTGCATGAGCAGCACACATTTGCATGTATATATGTTTGTGCAATCATCCCTAGGAAGCCCCAGCTGGATCAGGGCACAGTAACTGAACTAGACAGCAAAGCCCTCTCACAGTTTTCAATTTAGAAATACAGCTATCTGTTTCCTCAATAAAACCTGCTATTACCTCCAAACTTGTTTCAGCAGCAATAGGCATTTTCTTTTTAAAACCGGCAGGCTTTGCTGGACAATTTGGTATGCAAATGTTCCCCCTAGGCTAAAGTAAAATACAGCTCTGCTTCTTATAGTCTTAACATGTATGTATTCTGTAAGGTGAAGAGATCAATCCTTTGTGTGCATAAATCTTGATGGTCTTTAATTCATGATGACCCCTCTAACCTCTACCTTTGGTGAAATGTTCAGAATAATACGTTGCAGAGGAAGAGACACAAAATAAAGCTGATGGAAGCTTTAATTTTTCTCTCATGCCCAGACCAAAATGGTGAACATTGTAATGCCTTTGAAGATGCTGCATTTATGTTGAAGAAGTAATTCAAATAAGCACCTTTTAAAAACTTGCTACTTCATGTTATACACCTTAGAATATATGTACAGTGGTACCTTCGTTCTTGAACGTGTCCGTTGACGAACGTTTCAGAACCCAAATTCTGAAAACCCAGAAGTAAATGCTTCCGCTGCATGTTTCTCAACTGAATTTGCAGACAGCCCTTTGCACCTCATTTTTCGAATGTTTCGGAACTCAAATAGTCTTCCGGAACAGATTACATTCGAGAACCGAGGTACCACTGTATAGAGCTTTCCATACTGTATTTTGTGTCATAAGAGAAGAATGTTAACAGTATGCATGTTTTATTTTTCAATATGGCGTGTCCATCAATCTTTTACTGCTCTTGCATCTCTTAAGAAAAATATTTTATTGGCTTACATACCAGACAGCGGCACTGTTGACAGCTGTATGTCCAATTGTCTCCACTTCGGTACAGCTTGTGCCCATTCTGATCTAAACATTGACTGGTGACTCTGGTATCACATTCTGGGCAGCAGAAGAAATCAACACTGGGATTCTGACAATCACACGTAGTTCGTCGACAGAATATTTTGCCATCCTGTCAAGAAACAATAATCATTAGTATTAAGTGTTTCTAAATAACGGATAGATCAAATTGGGGCAGTGCCTAGCAATGCGTGTTAGCAATTTGCATTTTATAGTGTTACTCATTATACTGTACAGTTCACAAATACAAGTGATTGGGAAGCTCAATGGTCACATTTCAGAAACTCATACCATGCTCATTGTTCTATAACAGGCAAGAGGTGATGCAGTATTATTAAAAAAAATTCTTCTATAGCAATTCTCATAGTTCTGCTTGTGAATGAGGTTACACAGACTCTTGCATAAATGGAAGAATACCTGTGGATTTAGTTTCACTTTTGCCTTCCAAATGTGATGGAGCACCTTTGGAAACAATCCTAAATTTAGTGTTTGAATGTATTGCAATGCTATTTATTCAAAGAAGCAATAATATTTGTTTATAAACATTCATGTACTTTTCGTTGCTTCCAACTGATTCATTAGCAGTAAACACCCAAGTAAGAAATTCATATTGGACTCAGTGCCATGTGGACTTAAGAGTGAAAACTGGCAAGGATTCTGATGGCAACTGTTCTATGATGGCACCAACTGTTGGGTGAAATGCAGTGTATGTGGCTCCACTTACAGACGACATTGCATCCATTGCTGGAATGGGAAGGAGGCAATATCATCAACTCTTCTTCCCACCCCTCCGTCCCCTAAATATACTCCAGCAGACCTCTCAGCTGTAAACTGCCTCTCTCTACTTTCTATTGATGGATGACTTTCACCAGCAGAGTGACACCCATTGAATATCCAGATTCACCTTGATCCTAGTTCTGGGTTGCTTTAAATAAATACTATGAGTATTCCCACAGACTTCAAAGACAAGATTATTTCTATTCCAAGGAGCAGCCAAAAACGTATCAAGCAGCACCTATTTTCTACATTTTTGGTGCTTTCTAGCCAATATTGGGGTTTATGTTTTATTCTGCTTAGTTTAGCATATTGTAAATGTTATCAAACTGAGGTTTGGATACTCTTTCCACTTATACAAGAAATATGCTCTCAAATTTCATCTTTGGAAGCTATGTCTGAATGGAAAAGTTCTCAACTTTACCACTTTAAACCATTGCCCTTGCAAATAGTTTCTTGGGTGCATTCTGAATGAATAAACGTTTCTATTAGTCACATAATGAGTATCATGAAGCAACAATTTTCTTCACAAATTTTTGAATAACCATGTAATTGTAGAGATAATATCTTCAATAATTTTGTGGCTGAACAGGTGGCACCATTAATTTAACAAAAATGCATTACACTGCAAAACCAGGCCTGTCAGAGGAATTTAATACAGCAAGTTAATAGAGGAACCTATCATCCTTTCACCTTCAGTTATATCTAGTTATGTTGTTGTTGGGTTTTTTACAGCTTGACTTACAGTCCAACAGAGGAAGTAGTAGGAGACTATGTCACCATATCTAACAACTCAGCACAATTTCACATTCCTTTCTCGCTGATATCAGGATGTAAAAGTGCTTCACTCTAGATTGGCTCATGCTCTCAGAATCATTTTTGAAAAACTTTTTATTTATACCTCTCGGAAATAAAGCTTTAATACCACAACTGCTAAATATTTACTCCTTGCATAGGATCCTGCACATTTCAGTGGCTACAGATTAAATTACAATCCTTGTGATAACTAGAGCATCAATATTGTTTTAAAATGTAAAAAAAAAGTATGCATTGGCTTGATGGAAAAGGGAAAATGAGTTTATTCAAATTGTGAGGATGATAATTATAGGAATTATTGTGCTGGAAACTCTACCTGTTATTATAGGTGAATAAATAATTTCAATGCTTTTACATGCATAGCATTGAACTGAAATCTAGAATACTAATGAATTATTTCAAATTAGGTAGTGGGTTCTTCGTTTGCTGAACGGTTAATTCAAGCAAAAAAAAAAAAAAAAAAAAACAACCCACCCCCACCCAACTGCTTTTAAGAACAGGGTTTTCAGCCCACCTACTCATAGGCAATACTATCTCTCAAAGTTGTGCTTCCTACAGTAGGGTGAAGAAAAGAGACAGGTAGACCCGAGAAATAGCTGGCACAGCAGCTGCTGAAGCTCACTGTGCTTCTGAACTTCTGAAGAGAAAACCATTATCTCCAGGTGAGAATACAGTAACTTTGCAGTTCAAATGTGAAAATGTACATCAGTTATCAGTGGCATAGTAAATGTCAAGCTACGGTGTCACACAGCTACTTCACCCTGAGCTCAAACGTTGCCCATGTTTCAAAGAGCAAGAATGCTGGTTTTCAGGTATGAAAGAAGCTTACACCCAGTGCTTCCCCCCCCCCCCGGGGGTACTCAAGCATATGCAGTACAGGCACCTTTTCTTCTAGAAGAAAAGCACTGCTTACACCAGTGCAGATAAACAAATTGAAGCAATCAGGAACCATTTCATAAAAGGTTGCAACTGGTTTTATTAATAAGAAAAGTATTTCTAGCCCTCATAGCTGTGGAACCCTGGAATATTAGAGGCAGCCTAGCAAAGATTTAGTGCCTAGTAAAAATTCTGGGGCATATCCAGACATCTGAGAAAGGGATGCTTCCAGTTCTCATCAATCAAATTTCTGTCCAGATTTTGGAGTTTGGAATAGCCTTGTTTTGTTTCAAAAGTGGAATTAGAATTAGGAGTTTTCATTATTTCTTTAAAAACAAAAACAAAACAGCAACCCTGAATTCTATGCAGAACATTGTGCCTGAACATTACAGTGTGTCTCCCCACACAAAAACAAAGCAAGCAAGCAAACAAACAAACAAACAAACACTTTCAAGATGCCTATGGTTAGCCAAAGGCTAGTTCCTTTCATGTCTTGCAGTGGGTGGTTATTATTATTATTATTTAAGTGTTTCACTTCATGTTTTATTTGCATCTGTTTCATTTTGGTATTCATTTTTCCCCTTTTAAAAAAGACATTTTTGCTACCACCTGTGAGGGCAATGCAGCAGAGTTCAGCATCACTCAAGTTTTGCAACGGTTCATTAGTGATACTGAAATTAAATTATTCAAATTAAATATGTAGTGCAACCTAGTCCATATACTTGATGTAACTGCTATTTGGACTTAATTAGAATTTCATATTTTTCCAACACAGTTTTCAGTATCATTGGAATTATTATGCCTCTCATAGTATTCTATGTTTTGTATACAGACCTGTTCACTCTGCACTCTACAGAGAGCAATTTGACCCCAATATTTCAGTGTCACAAATATGTAGCCTTTTCCGCTGCACAAAGTCTCTTGTTGCTTTGGAGTGTCAAATATCCATCTCTTAAAATAACCTCAGCAATTTCTAAATAATTCTTCCACTATGTGCACAGACTGAACAAGTGGGAAATCTAGTCTCTTTTCATCTGATAAAATAAGAAGGAAAAGCGAGCCGCAGTGACCAACATCACTATGACCACTACCAAACACCACTACACCTGTACTTCAACTAATTACACCAAGAGAAGTTACAAAAAGAATGTCATTTGAGCCCAGTGACAAGAAAGTAGCTAATACTTTGGAATAATCAGAGGTTTAGATAAAGGAAAAACTGGTGGTGAATTTGTGTAACAAGTTATTTTAAAAGTTAGATGAATAATAGAATTGTAGAATTGGAATGGATCCCAAGGGACATCTAGTCCAACCCCCTATAATGCAGGAATCTCAACCAAAGCATCCATGACAGCTGACCATTCAACCTCTGCTTAGAAACCTCCAAGGAAGGAGAGTCCAGAACTTTCCAAAGGAGACTATTTTTCTAGTTTAAAATCATGGAGCTATAGTTTACCCTCACAGAGATACCACCCCAGCACTCTTAACAAACTACAGATCCCAGGATCCTTTCCAAAACTAAATTTCTATAAATTATAAGCACAGGTTCAAGGAATCATTTAAAATCACAAGTGCACTTCCATTCATTACTAGTAGGGTGGGTTTATATCAATAAATGAGACCTGTTAAGTATTGCTTGTATGCTCATGCCCAAGTCTGGAAAGGGGGACTCTTAATGGTGAACTGAACTTCTTCCTCCTCAAGTGATTAAAACCCAAGCCTGAAGTGTGATTAAATTTGAACCTAGATCATAATTGGTTTCTCAGTTCCATTGTCAGGATCACTGCCACTAGAGTGGATTACCTTCTTCTCAATTAACTGGTGGTAGATCACAATGGAGAGTTGTTGCTGGTGAGGTCCCCCTTTCTTTCTCCCTGACATGATGAGCATTAAACAGTAGCATTCCAGGTGCTAAGGACCCTTGGAAATGTGGTTATCCATGGTGCCCAAATCTTTGGAGATGCTGCTGAAGTTCCCCTGAGTCAGGCTTGGAAAAGAACTCTGGAGCTCATTAAGCCTGCCTCAGAAAATCCAAGCAGAAGAACTGCTTGCTCACTTTACACCTACTGAATAAAACGGAGCTCTGTTTCTTCTTTACATCCAGTAAAGAGCGCTGAAGCCACTGTAGGGGCAAAGAACAAATGTGAGGGAGAAGCCAAGGGCCCCATGAGGCATGGGATCCTCATTACCACTTTAGTATTTTGTCCCTGCAGGGTCTTTCATCACTCCCATATGGAATAATGGCTCAATTTATTTATACAGGGGCAGGCAAAAGACACTGTAGAAGAAGGTGTAATGCTGAAAGATGACTCACAGAGTTGGCTTCTTCCCCATCCTCGCTGGTACTCCTTTATTCTTGCCCAGTTCAATATAATGCAAGCTACTATGTCTAATGAGGCCATAATAAAGAGGTGCAAGCATGATAACTTGTGGTGGTAGAAGGAATACAACCTCCCATATTTCCACCCTTGAATTGACTTGGAAAGCTTTTCCTGGTTTGGCAGGGGGAGGGGAGAATCTCAAATTGTTTCCAAGTGAATCCAAAGCAAATTTTCCACAGTTCACCCATCTCAAGTTCATGGTGTAGACATTGTGCTCCATAATCTAGGATATGTATTTTCCAGGATGCTTAACAGACATATGAAGGCCTCGGGTGCCTGAAGAATGATAAATCCCAGAATCCCTGGCACATGATGCACTGCATTAAAGACAACAAGAGGGAGAGAGGAAGAAACAGAGAGGCCTCAAGAGAGGACCTCCCATTACCACAACTGCTTGGTATGTTGAAAAAGACAGACAAGGTATTACAGGGGAGGTTCACAGGTAGGAGTGTGAGGGAATGTTTAGACTCTTGTTCTGCTGCTTGTCATGGGGCCGGAATTTGCAACTGGGTTCGGAAAATAAACACATGGTACGTTTCTAAATATTCAGAGTGGAATCCAGTTTGTCTGTTATATTAAAGGAAGAGTTTTTCATGCAGTGGATACCACTGCTAACAGAAGGAAGGGAATTTTGGCTGATTCATTCTTTGCCCCCTTCAGCCATCTTGGCCCTCTGAAAATCTGCTCCTGAGGGCTGGGGAACACCCCAGAACTGCCTAGAGGGTGATATGGGAGGCTACAGAGTGAAGGAAGAATCTGAAGATTACCTTTCCTGCTTTCCATCAGCAAACCAAAGACTCTTCTGCAAATGGAAGGGGCTCCTTCCATTTGCATATTGTGCACCAGTTATTTTTTTGTACACAAAGGTAAGACATACGATGGCCAAGCAATTTGGTTTGTTGAGCTCCACTTGGAATCAAGCAGATGAAAATATGTACATCACTATTTAAATCATGTTTTCACCTACACACTGTCTATCTTGGGAATCTCTTTTCAGGGAACACTAGCTTCCATACTAGTAAGTCAGTAAAGCTGCTTTATTTGTGGGGGGGACGACAGAAAGAAAACAGGATTAAAGACAACACAGCTCCGCCAATGCTGTTATAATTCACATAAGGCTTGAGGGATGTACTCTGAGAAAGCAGAGAAAATCTACTTCAGGCTACTTTGGGTAATGAATGCACTCAACTAATTAAGCTGTTAGAATTTTAATGTTTTAGCAAATTCTGCCCTCATTCACAGGAACAAAAACCAGTATGTTTAGAGAGGATTAGATGAAATATTATGTCTGGTGAATTGCTGCAGTAATCCCTTCCTCACTTATCTGTGAAATATTATTATTATTTTAAAAAGGTGTCTTAACATGGTCCAAACCTGGGCACATTATGCCAGAATTGGATATCATTGGCCATGGGGTGGACGATCCAATTCCACATTGACATATGAAGCAGTGTTGGGACAATTAGGATTTTGTTAGCTATTTCAGCGAGCTAAGAGTACATTCTACAGAACATTTTATGGAAAGAGGTTTTATTTTATGTGAAAGATACCAGACTCTGTTTCAATTAAGGCACTGTAGAAAAATTCATACATAATTTACTAGAGCCAATTGTTAGAGAATATTAAAATAACTTTTAATAAATAGCCCTGAATAACTAGCAATAAACTGTATTAAGACCCATAAACAGTATATGCTGGCCTTAGCATAGTCATATTATACCTTCACTAGGACCTGGAATGCTGAGGCAAGTTGAAATGCTCCCACCAAATGATGATATTTTAGCTCTTTATGGTGGTATTATTCCTATTTTGTTCCTTAAAAGATATTCTCAAGAACTTCTTCCTGACTGTAAAGCAGTCCTTCTGGAGACGTGCACACAAGCTGAGGTAATTTTAATATGTTTTAGTATTTTGACTTTTGTATGTTTTAAAGTATGGTTGTGATTTTTTTTTATTTAACTGTTTTTTCTTTTGTAAACCACTTTGAAGTTTTCAAGTGGTGTATAAATTTTATGAAATAAATAAATGAGCCATTTTTGCCACCAGCAGTTCCTTTTGCAAGAATGCAAGGTTCCTCCTAAATTTTCAGGTAATGCTTTTGGAAAGAGGAAAAGTAGTCTTATAAAACCATATTTTACATGCATGATTGCATCATAAATATTGTTAAAATGTTGCTTGAGGATGGGGTCCTATTATCCCCAGTGTTCCAAACGGCAATACAACAGGAGAGTAGTGGAGATTGCTTCTGTTGCAAATATTTCTGATACAAATATTCCAAGTAAATTTCATATTTCACAAATTCACCACGTTTGACATTTATAGAGTTTCAAACATAATTCTCTATGAGGGCTAATGTAGCACAATTGTGAACTAGGAAATTCCCAGTCCAAATTCCATCTCTGCAACAAGCTCACTGGGCGATTTTAGTAATTATAATAATGATTTACCTTACAGGGTTTTATGGATTCCTGCAACAATGCCCTGAATGCTAATGAACTATAAATGCTGTGTTGCTGCCCCCATACAAACCTCTGGTGGTGAGGGCACTTTTGTTTGAAAAGTATGAGTGAAAAGTATGAGTGAAGGCTATCTATCATACAAGGAAGGTAAAGGGATCCCTGACCATTAGGTCTAGTCGTGGGCCGACTCTGGGGTTGTGGCGCTCATCTCACTTTAGTGGCCAAGGGAGCCGGCGTACAGCTTCCAGGTCATGTGGCCAGCATGACTAAGCCGCTTCTGGCAAACAAGAGCAGTCCATGGAAACCCGGTTTACCTTCCCGCCAGAGCGGTACCTATTTATCTACTTGAACTTGATGTGCTTTTCAACTGCTAGGTTGGCAGGAGCAGGGACCGAGCAACGGGAGCTCACCCTGTCGCGGGGATTCAAACCGCCGACCTCATCGGTAAGTCCTAGGCTCTGGTTTAACCCACAGTGCCACCCGCATCCCTATCATACGGGGAAAGGTTTCCCTTAAATGTAATTTTTAGCATCTAGCAGTGTTCATCTTTTCAGTCACCTACAACTGTCCCAGGGCACTAAAGTTTCTTCTCAGTTTCATAAATAGAAGAGTTGTATAGACCAGGAAGTTTACTTGTTGTTTTCTCATACCAGTTTTGCATGGATGCAAACCTGCTTGCTAGAGTGAATTTGCTTTTTTTTTTTAAAGGAACCAAGAAAAGATTAATTCAGATTACAACTCTCCAGGGGGAGCCCAGGTGATTTTGGAAGAATTCAGCCTGCAATCTGACATGGATTTAGTTCTTTTAAAATGGGTTTCTTATTTTAAAAAATACGCAAGGAAAAGAAGAAATTGGATTATTAAAAGAGTAAAAAAATCAAACAGGAACTTACCTTACAAGAGCAAACCGAACACCTGTCTTTCTTCAGTGTCCATACCTGGCCATTCCGTTTCAAGCCTCCTTCATGTGTGCAGTCACCAGTGCAGGATGGTCCAGATGGACAGAGGCAATCAAATCCTCCTGCCAGGTTCACACAGGCGGAGTCATTCCAGCAAGTGTGAGTCCTCAAGGCACATTCATCAATATCTGCACAATACAGAAGAGTTTATTGGGCTTCAGCAAGTTGTGTGATCCATAGTTCTTTGGGAACATCAAGTATTTACTTGACTGGATTTGTAGGCCTGCTTTGCTAAGAGCATATATACTTTCTACACCCACACTCTTAAAATGATTTCTTTAAAAAGGTTATTTCTCAAGTTGAATCATAACCAAGTAAAAGAAATAACAACTTTTAGAAACTTCTGTTCTTGCATTATTATAACTCTTCCTAGATGCTTAATGGTTAAGAGATTATGTTGCCTCTCGAGGGCATAAAAATGATATATTAAAAAAAAACAACAAAAAAACACGGAAGGGGGCCAGTAGTTGTCTTTTTAAAAAAACATACTGAGTAGGAGTAAATTGCTCCTAAGTAGCAGGCTATTCTTGGATTTGTACAGGAAAAGGAAGTAGTAAGGACATAAGTAAGCTTTTGCATGAGCAAATACAGTTCCATGCTAACAGCAGTCGTAGGGTTTTCCCATGTTAGAAGCAGGGCATGAAAAAATAAAAGCCAGACATACATTCTGGAGGAAAGGGAAAGTGCCATGAATAAACCTTCAGGCAATTTGGCCTTAAGTGTTTTGTTTTGTTTTTTAAAAAAGTAAGGGTTATATTATTTTATCACAAATAATCTAATTTCAGAGACTTCTTTCCTCCAGTGCTGTACTGCTGACACAAGGAAACCACTCACATGAGCAATTAAATATGCCTACTTATGTGTTTTACTCCAATGCTATACTGTTCATACGTAAGAGACACAGCTAAGATAATATATGAACCAGTTACTATTACAGATGAAATAAAACACCTGTCTTTAGCAGAAATAAGACAGTCCTCTCAAGCTGAAATTTAGGGTAGTAGCAATAAAAGTGAAACAGAAAATCCACCTCATATTTCTTGGTTAGAAGACACACTTATTCTAACCCCAAAGGAATCCAGAGCAAAACGTATTTCTAATGTCTCTCTATTCTGGGCTTGTATTCAAGTGGCACGGACAAATTAGTGTGGATCTAATTACAGAGCATTAGCAAAGTAGCACTTGCTCTCTAGACAAGAGTCACTCACAATAATAATTCTACAACAGCAGCCCTGTTTACAACTTTCACAGCTAGTGTGCTTTGCAGGCCAATTGAGGAAATGAGCAGAGATGATCTTGTCTCTTTATATGATGAGAAGAATTCGTGAAGTTGAAAAGATTTTCAGTTCAGGGATCATCCAGTCATTCACACACACACACACACACACACACACACACATTTTAGCTGAGGAATGCAAACTACACCAACAATGGAGAAGCAAAATAATAAGATACAACAATATATTTAACTGAACGCTGCATAGAAGACAGAATTGTGACCCTACCTGTAGGTTAAAAAAAGAGCCTTTGAGGATGGGGGATTCAGAAGCTCAACAATATAACTTACGGTACACTGTGTCCTTTTTTAGCTCACAATTTGTTTTGTCTTAGATTGCAGGCATATCGTCCCTGAGACCCTAGGACCCATCAGATCTCCCTAAGGGGAGGAGGAGAGAAAAGTCCACCTTTGGAGAGGAAGCTGTTGAAGGTTGTGGAAAGGTTCCTGCAGAAGGTTCCTTTCCAACACTGAACAGCGAAAAGGAGGTGCTCACAAGGGGTGTTCTAGGCAAGGTTGCAGATCTGTCCTAAGCTGGCATAATTTATTCCACTCCCATTAAATTCTTTGTGAGGGAAACGTTTCTCAAAAACAAAGAAACCCCCAGAAACAAAAAAAATAGCAACAGCCACTTAGAACAGGAAAATAGGAAAGCACCATCCCACCTTCTGCCCTATTTGGAAGGACACAGGAAAGGGGAGTTAGTCCCCCTTTGTTCCCCTCTGCCTACCCTTTCGGATTGTCCTATTTGTTTCACTGGTGCTCAATGAGCAGCTCAAAAGTTTGCATGTAGACATTTCAGCAGCAAACAAAAATTACTGGTTCATTTCCTCTTAGAGATGTGGCAATGTTAATTAAATACCGCAGAAAAGCAGCAAAACATATAAGCCCCATTTGCACAAATCTATTTTTAGCTACAATGCTAATGACACAATTAGACTTCCTATTCTGTGATTATATATATATATATATATATATATATATATATATGATATGAAAAATGATCTTACCATATATTAGCATAGCAAAAGATTTTCTTTTGGCTGTGAGTTAAAAGATTACATGCAGTATGGAATGTGCAATTTACAACACAAGTGGCAAGCAGCGATTCTATCGTCCATTAGAATGTTGTTGAATTGTGCACTCCGGGCATCAATAATAGGGTTAAATCTACTCCTTCACTGCAAGCTCCTTAAGTGCTTCTCCCTTAATTATGTTTCATGTCCCTCCCCGCCCCTGGAAAATAAAAAGAGCCACAAGGGAAGGTCTATTTCTGGTTGGGAAAAGGGTTAAAAAGCCTCTCTGTGTCTAGTTTTCTATTTAAACGCAACCTTGCCCAGGCTGCACACACATATACATCACAATGCTCTGCTTAATGTGTAGTTGAGTCTCAGTTTACAATAATGTTCCCATTAGACACTTCTCCTTCACTAGAAGACCTCTCTTGCAATGATCATTTTGCTGCTTCATTCTGCCAAAATAAATAACCATAATGTGGCCATCTTCAAGGACTATTAATGTGCACATTATTTGTTAGTTTTTTCTTGATTTTCCATATAATAAGGAATGCAACTTGAAAGGAGCACTTGGCCTGGTACCTTCAAACCAAATACCATGTACTGTGTTCCAGCTGCAAGAGAATCATGAAAAGGAAAGCTATATACTTGTAATAAAACTAAGGCCATGAATAAATTGATAGAGAAGTAATTGTTTTAATGGGAAAATACAAACTAGTTACCTTAACTTTCTTCGCATTGTTTCTCTTTTCAGTAGGCTTTCACTTACACTTCTGGTTAAAAATGTCACTACAGCCATGCTTGGGTGTTTTTACATTGAAAAAATGCAAAATAATGTTTTCCTTTGCTGTGTTAAGGTTTCATTCTACACCATGCGTAACATATGAATCTGGGCTAAAGAATAGATTAGAGGCATAGATTTTACAGTTCAAAACTAAAAAGAATTTCACAGATGAGCATGGGGCCATATTGCCTACGAAGTTCCATGTAATTGCTTTACTTGCAACACAGACTCTAATTCTACTTCCGTGCAATTTAACAGATTTATGAGAAGCCAGATGTTGGCAATTATGGAAACCAACATTATTCATATTCTCAGTACAACAGACCTGTTTGCACTGCAAAACCCAATGTAATCTATTATACATATAACCAAAGGAGAAGAGGCATCCTATTTACATACCCCCAAATACTTCATGCTGAGAGCTCATAAACAGCACTACCAAAAGCAGCAAACCTTGCCAATGAACAAATAATAAAGCAAAAATCCCAACACCTTGTCATAACTCCGTTTAGGCGCCTAATGCAAATTATAGTTTATTATGTTCTTGTGTTTGTTATTTAATATCAGCCAGTAATCAAAATATCAGGCTCAAAAAAGTGGCATCCATTCCAAGTTCAACTTGGAACACAATTAAGACTACTAAACAAGCAAATGTTTTAAACCTATACATGAAGCATTTTTAGTGCTTCATGACACAATTTAAGGAGCTAGTTTTGAAGCAGAAAGTCCAAAATGAACTGGGTCTGGTCTACATGAGGATTTTCTTGCCTACAAGCCTTCTCTTCTTTCCTTACAGTCTCACCCTTCCATTGTAGTCCTTGAATGGGGCCCTGCTTTTAATCCTTCTCAATTCAGAAACATTACCATGGTAAGGATCCCCAACACCACCACAAAGCTTGGTCATTTACCCCATAATGCAAGTAATGCATTCCCCTTGCTCGTGACAGGAGCCAGTAACCAGAAGCAAGCAGAGCTTGCTCACTAGCTAAGCAGGCCTTTGCCTAGCTTGCCTTACTGCTGAAGTGGAAATGAAGGTTTTAAAATATGCTCAAATGCATCAGAATCATAGGAACTGTAGTTGACCCTAATCTCCTCTTCAAACTGGCGGAGTGATTGCATTTGTGAGCCATTTGAAGTATCACTCTACTTGTGATTCCCAGAAACTGGCATTCAGAGATATACTGTCTCTGACACTGGAGGGAGTGCACGGCCATCATGGCTAGTAGTGATGGATAGCCTCAACTGCCATGAATTTGGGTAATATCCATCTAAAACCATTAGCACATCTTGTGGTGAGGTACTATGTGTTTTGTGAAGAAGCGCTTTCTTTTGTCTTGACAGAATATTTCAAAATTCAGCTTCATTAGATGGGCCTGAGTACTATCAGGGAGGGAGAAAAGCTTGTTCTTTTCTTCTTTATCTACCCCTGCATAACCCTATACACATCTATCAAGTCCCTCCACTTTGCCTTTCCCCCTAAACTAAAAAGCCTCAAATGTAACCTTTCCCCAAAGGAGAGTTGCTCCACACCACTGATCATTTTGGTTGCCCTTTCTGAATGCTTTCCAGCTCTTAAACAACCCTCTTTAGGTTATGAGGCTAGAACTGTACACAATAGTCCAAGTACGATTACACCATAGATTTGCAGAATGGCGTGAAATATAGGCCGTTCTATTTTCAGTTAAGGGACGCAGGTGGTGCTGTGGGTTAAACCACAGAGCCTAGGACTTGCCGATCAGAAGGTCGGCAGTTCGAATCCCTGCAACGGGGTGAGCTCCCGTTGCTCGGTCCCAGCTCCTGCCAACCTAGCAGTTCAAAAGCACGTCAAAGTGCAAGTAGATAAATAGGTACCGCTCTGGCGGGAAGGTAAACGGCATTTCCGTACGCTGTTCTGGTTCACCAGAAGCGGCTTACTCATGCTGGCCACATGACCCGGAAGCTGTCTGCAGACAAACGCCGGCTCCCTCGGCCAATAAAGCGAGATGAGCGCCGCAACCCCAGAGTCGGTCACGACTGGACCTAATGGTCAGGGGTCCCTTTACCTTTGCCTATTTTCAGTTGGTCTTTTTTCTTGGGTGTCCTGGTTCCCACCCCAAACACCACAACCAAGGCACCTAACGTGTGAAAGGGAAGAAAGCTTTATTCAAGGCTAACAATGGTACAGGTCAGGCTACAGGGACAGAACAACAAAGGCACACCTAGACAATTCAAGAACAGCATCAGGACAGTGCCAGATTTCAGGTGGATCCCCTGCACAGGGGGTACAAAATAACAACAACACCTGCATTTATACGGGTTCCTACTCAAAGTTAGGGCCCAGTCAGGCAGGTGATTGAGTTGCTGCAACTATGATACAGTGCACT